CCACCTCCTGAAATGGATGAACATTGACCAATTCTTTTTGGTACAGTGACTCTGGGTACTCCTTCCATCTTCTTTTGATGTTGCCTGCATCATTCAATATTTTGCCCATAGAATCTTTCAATATTGCAACTTGAGGCTTAAATTTCTTCTTTAGTTCCTTCAGTTTGAGAAATGCCAAGCATGTTCTTCTCTTTTTGCTTTCCAACTCCATGTCTTTGTACATTTCATTATATTAATTGACTTTGTCTTCTTGAGCTGCTCTTTGAAATCTTCTGGTCAGCTCTTTTATCTTGTAATTTCTTCTATTTGTGTTAGCTACTCTTTGCTCAAGGGCAAGTTTCAGAGTCTCTTCTGACATTCATTTTGGTATTTTCTTCCTTTCCTGTCTTTTTAATGACCTTTTGTTTTCTTCATGGATGATGTTCTTGATGTCATCCCACAATTCTTCTGGTTTTTGGTCACTGATGTCCAATGCTTCAAATCTATTCTTTTAGATGGTCTCTAAATTCAGGAGGGATATACTCAAGGTCACATTTCAGCTCTCGTGGAGTTGTTTTAATTGTCTTCAACTTCAACTTGAACTCACATATAAGCAGTTGATGGTCTGTTCCCCAATCAGCTCCTGGTCTTGTTTTGGCTGAAGATATTGAGCTTTTCCATCGCCTCTTGCAACAGATGTAGTCAATTTGATTCCTGTGTACTCTATCTGGTGAAGTCCATGTGTGTAGCTGCCATTTGTGTTGTTGAAAAAAGGTGCTTCCAATGACTAAGTCATTGGTCTTGCAAAATTCTATCATGCGATCTCCCATGTTATTTCTTATCACCACGGCCAAATTTTCCACCTACTGGTGATTCTTTGTTTCCAACTTTTGGTAAAAATCTTAAATTTCCTCATCTTTGGCTTTAGTGGTTGGTGCGTAAATTTGAATAATAGCAGCCTTCCTTGTGGACTTATGGATATTATCCTATTACTGACAGCTTTGTACTTCAGGATAGATTGTGAAACATTCTTTGTGATGATGAATGCCACGCCATTCCTCTTCAATTTGTCATTCTTGGCATAGTAGATCATAAGGCTGTCTGATTCAAAACTGCCCAAACCAGTCCATTTTAGGTCACTAATGCCTAGGATATCAATCTTTATGTATTCCATCTTGTTTTCGTCAACTTCTAATTTTCCTAGATTCATACTCCATACATTCCATTGTTCAGATTATTAGTGAATGTTTACAGCTGTTTCTTCTCATTTTGAGTAGTGCCACATCAGCAAATGGAAGTCCCAAAAGCTCTACTTATCCATACCATAAAAGTTGGCTCTACTCTGATGAGGCAGCTCTTTCCCCATTGTATTTCGAGTGCCTGACAACCTGAGGGGCTCATCTCTGGCACTGTATCAGACAATGTTTCAGGGCTATTCATAAAGTTGCACCCAAAAGGCAGGAAGGAGGGAAAGCTGGGGAGGACAAGGTGGCAGGCAGGATCCAGGTAAGGGCTGTGGCGATAGGCAGTGGATCGTAACAAATTATGGATAGCAATGAGAAGAATGAGAATTCCAGAACACTTAATTGTACTCATGAGGAACCTGTCCATAGAACAGGAGGCTGTTGTTTGAACAGAACAAGGGGACACCGCATGGTTCAAAATCAAGAAGGGAGTGTGTCAGAGTTGTATCGTTTCACCATACTTATTCAATGTGTATGCTGAGCAAGTAATTGGAGAAGCTGGACTATATGAAGAATGTGGCATCAGGATTGGAGGAAGAATCATTAACAACCTGCGATACACTGATGACACAACTTTCTTTGCTTAAAGTGAGGATGATTTAAAGCACTTACTTATGAAGACTGAAGACTATTGCCTGCAGTATGGATTACATCGCAATATAAAGAAAACAAAAATCCTCACTAATGGAACCTATAAGCATCATCATGACAAAAGGAGAAAAGATTGAAGTTGTCAAAGACTTCATATTGCTTGGTCTACAATCGACGCCAATGGAAGCAGCAGTCAGGACATCAGATGTATAGCACTGGGCAAATCAGCTACAAAGGACCTCTTTCAAGTGCTGAAGAGCAAAGATGTCTCCTTGAGGACTAAGGTGCGCCTGACACAAGCCATGATATTTCCAATCGCCTCTTATGCATGTGAGAGCTGGACAACAAATAAGGAAGACCGAAGAAGAGTTGATGCTTTTGAGTTGTGGTGCTGCCGAAGAATGCTGAAAGTACCATGGACTGCTACAAGAACTAACAGATCTGTCCTGGAAGAAGTGCTGGCAGAATGCTCCTTGTTAGCAAGAATGGCCAGACTTCATCTCACCTACTTTAGTCAAGTTGTCAAAAGGGACCATTGCCTGGAGAAGGATGTCATGCTTGGTAAGGTGGGGGGTGGAAGAAAGAGGGGAGGCCTTCAATGAGATGGATTGACATGATGGCTGCAGTGATGGGCTCAAGCATAGCAAGGATCATGGAGCTGGTGTGGGACTGGGCAGTGTTTCGTTCTGCTGTGCATGGGGTTGCTATGAGTCGGAGATGACTTGATGGCACCTAACAATAGTAATAACAACAATAACAACAATCTCTGGAATTTTGTGAGTTTCTGTTAAATTCAACAGTATTTGTGATAATGTTGACTTTTAACTTAAATACTAACTTGTGTACTTGTATACTTGTTATTAGTATAATTAGCCTAGTGGCGTAGTACCTAAGGCATTTGACTGCTAACCAGAAGGCTCTCTGTTCAAACCCACCAGCCACTCCTCGGAAGGAAGGTTGGGCAATTTACTTTCACAGTGATACTGCCTTAGAAACCCAAGGAGGGATCGCTATGAGTCGGATCTGACTTGATAGCAGTGCATTTGTTTTTTTTTGGTTTTAGGAGGTCCCTGGGTGAGATAAATGGTTAAGAGCTTGACTACTGGCTAAAAGGTTAGAGGAAACCCACCTAGAAACACCTAGGAAGATAGGCCTGCTATATGCTTCTGAAAGATGACAGCTTTGAAAACCCTATGGAGTAGTTCTACTCTGGACACATGGGGTTCTTTGAGAGCCAGCCGAAACCCACTTGACTCCATCTAACAATGATTAACTTATCATGGTCCTTGTACAAAAGCTGGCTGTTGTGAATTATCAAGTAGATTCCTACTCATAAGGAGAGTCACTTGGATGGTGGCTTTGAGGAATTGTCTTGGGTTTAGTGCCTAAGGCATTTGACTGCTAACTAGAAAGCTGGAGGTTCAAACCCACCAGCCACTCCTCGGAAGGAAGGTTGGACAATCTATTATATAGAGGGGTTGGGGTCACTATGAGTTGGATCTGACTCTAGAGCAGTGAGTTTGGTTTGAGGAATTGTACTACAATATATTGAAAAGGGTACTTTTGACTGGATCTGGTAGAATTCCAAAGTACTTAACACCCAGTCTCCTCACTGGGGTCAATGTCGATACTCCCACCCTACTGAAGTGCAGCTAGCTACGTCCGGCCTGGAATGCAGCTGCTGGTTATTAGCTGTATTACCTCCGAGTCTGACCCGCAGGACCTTTAAGAGGAATTCATCACACCAAATTAAATAGATCGCTATTTTCAAATAATGCTTCTTGTGTCTTGTGAATTATTTGCACTTTAGGGTTTTTGCTTTTCAGCGCGTTCTCATCTTGGTTTTGGCAAACATTGGCTTCACTTCTTAGGATACCCTTTCTCTTTCTTCCATACATCAGTCTATTATCTACCAGACTGAACAATTTGACATTTTTATTGAAAAGCTGGAGGAAGGGACAATTAGAGAACTGATTTTGTGGGGGAGGGAGGTAGTGTTAATAATTAATTTTGGGGAGGGAGGGGGACACTAACAAAAGCCCCAACCAACCTTCTACCAAGTGTCCAGTCCTAACACCCGGTCTCTCTTCCCTTGGGCGGCCCTAGAATGCTGCCAACGGTGAGAGGAGGATCGGTGCCGCCTTCCCTCCACTTCTTTGCCACCTCTGGCCTCATTTTCCTGACCCCTTTTTCTTCCCTCCCCCACCCCCGCCAAAAAAGTAATAATAATAATAAGGGCAGGAATGCGAACTCGCCCTGGTTCCGAACTTCTAAGGAGCAATAGATTCGCCAGGCGCAGAGGGCCAACAACGAGCCCGTAGCCCCGCGGTCACTTGGATTGTGGCGTGCCTTCAACTTCACAGAGTGCGGCGCTCTGGGGGTGCAAGCGGGGACTCCGCCCAGCGCCACCTCGATCCCCGCGCGGGAAGGAGCTGCTTCGCGGGAAAGCACAGCCGCCGCCCGCGGTTTCTAGGCCCACTTTCTTGGGGCCAGCCGCCCGCGGCGGGGGAGGGGCGGCCGCCGCCCGGGTTCTCCCAGATCCCGGGGTCGACGGAAGGGCCGTGCAGCACGGAAGCGCGGCCGCAGCTGAGGATCAGCTGCTGGAAGAGGCGGAGAAGGAGAGGGAGGAGCCTAGAGGGGGAAAGCGGAGGGAGGGGACCTTCAGGAAGCCGCGAACGCCACCGAGTGTCTGCACACCTCGCTCTGTCTGCCATGGCTGGTTAAAGAACCATCCGGATCGCAGCACGGGGGGAGGGTAGGGTGGGGGGGAGAGTGGCGGCCGCGCGTGAGGCCGAGGGAGGGGCGGCGGCGCGAGCGGCGGCGGCGGCGGCGGCGGTTCCAGCATGAAGAGGAGAGCTGGCCTGGGGGGCAGCATGAGGTCAGTGGTGGGCTTCTTGTCCCAGCGGGGCTTGCATGGGGACCCCCTGCTCACTCAGGACTTTCAGAGGAGACGCCTGCGGGGCTGCAGAAACCTCTACAAGAAGGACCTCCTCGGCCACTTCGGCTGTGTCAATGCCATTGAATTCTCCAACAATGGAGGCCAGTGGCTGGTCTCAGGTAAATCAACCCCCTTCCCCTCCCCACGCCTCCCGGCCCCCTTCCAGCCTCCCCTTTTCGCTCTCCCTCGTAAACCCCCTTCTGCCCTCCGTCCCCACCCCCTCCCTTCTCAACCCCGCTTCTGTGGGGGAAGGTTTGGTGTCAAATTAAAACCATCGCAGGGGGAGGGAGGGAAAGAGGGAGGGAAGGGAGAGGATGTCTTCTATAAAAAAGACCTAAAATGGTTGACAGGTCCTTAATCCGCTTTATCCCAAGTGCAAAGTGATCTCCCCTGATTACAGCTCTGAAAGTGTGGGTCTGGGCGGGGGGCGAGGTTACCTCTTGACAAAGTTTGATGGGAAACTCTTCCTCTGCGTACTTTAAAAGGTGCAGGGGCAATTTTTGGGATTTAGATGGGGAGGAGGCCAAGACGCGCCTGAAGCGAGGAAATCTCGAGCCCCTGTTGCCGGTGTCATAGGGAAAAGGGCCGGGGCCGAGCTGTGACAGGGCTAGACGCCGGAGGGGCCGGCAAGGGGCTGCGACCTGGGGGTTAGCGAGTGTCAGCGGAGGGGAGATGACTGGCGGACGGCTAGATGTTGGTCGCCCCCCTCGGAGCTCCTCCGGGCCCAGCTCCATCTCCTTTCGTGCTCCGGTGGCCGCTTCCGCGTCTTATTTTTATTATGGTTTCCAGAGTAGCGAGGACTCTGGAGGCCAAGGGGCACCGGCCTGAACTTGAATGCGCAACTTGTGCGGAAGGGGGTGGGTGGGCGACCCCCGAAGGACTTGTTGGCGAAAGCCCAGCGTTCGCACCACCTTTCCAGCGGACTGCCGCTGCAGGTGGTCTCCGCCCCGCCTCCCTCCCCCCTGTGGGGCCTCGTTGCCCCCAGGCTCCCCCTCTGGTTTGGGCAAAGTGGCGAAATCGAGGCCGGGGCTCCGGCCGGGCAGTGTAGGCCTCGCTCTCCCGGGGCTCCTAGCGACAGGCAGCTGAATCGATAGCCTATTGCTCCCGGGGAGGCTGGGGCCCGGCGGGCCGTGGCGACAGCTGCCCCGGGGGAGGTGCGCCTGTTGCCAGAGGTGGGGGTAGGGGGAGGCGCCCGCCGCCGCCCCCCCTCCAGGGTTGGAGCCCAAGGGACCGGTGGGAGGGGGGGTAGGGGGGATTGAGGGTCCTAGGGGGCGGCTTCCTGAAACGGTAAAGGGAAGAGGAAGGAAGACAGGCGATTTGGCGTTCCTGCACCTCTTCTGCGGTTCTCCATCCCTTTTCCTACAGTGAGAAGGATGAAGGGGGAGCCCAGGGCTGGACGTGGCGCTTAGCTTCAGTCCGGTCGGTCCTCGAATGGTTTTCTAATTTGCGTCAGTGGGCAGCTTGCCAGAAACTTCTGGGATCATGGCAAAGCATCTGTCTTCTTCGCGAGTAACAGTCGGAAGTGACACGGGTCGTACATTCCAGTTGCGGGTAGCAGAGATAAGACTTGTTTGATCATTTCACGATGAACCTTCTGGGGTTTCTCCAGACTGCAGAGAGAGAACTGTCTTGACTTTTCCACTTCACATCGTTTTTCTCTTTGACTAGGTCGTTTGGCCTTGCATCATCCCCTGAAGGAACCTGATAATCCCCCACACCAGTGTATACAATTTTTATTAAAAAAATTCCAAGGACAAAAAAGAGGAAGATCTCTTTAAAGACTGAGCTCCCCAGTTTCCCCTTACACTTCCTCTGTATTCATAATATTCTCCTCTCCTTTCCAGACTAATGTATTCCAACAAAGATGGTCCCATACACAAATTAAGTTTACCTACTGGGCAAAGGAATTTGCGGGTCCTCATTTATATATGACTGAACTTATGTTAATTAAATGACAGTCAGTCGCACATTGCCCAGTTTAACACATTTGAAAATAACACCTTTATTGAGGTATTATTCACCTGCCTTACAAATCACCCACTTAATTTAAAGTGGACACTTTTAAAAGCATTACAAAGCTTCATTCATTCTATACCAGTTATTACTCCCGTATCCGTGGGCAGGATCTTCCTCTAATTTCTAAATGAATCTCATTTTCTCCAGTCTTAGCCAGTTGGTTTCCTTTAGCTTAATTTTCTCCGACAGAAGAGAAGGGCTCTTTCCACAGGGCAGGCTCTGGCAAACCTAGTTCTAGGCAATCATTTCCTTACTTTTTTCAGGCTAAGTTGCCAATCTCCATCAATACTTCCTGGGTTCCAGCCTTCTTTGCCCCTTGCCCCTCCCTTTTCCCTCCCCCCCCAAAAAAAAAAACTCCCTCTAGTTTAGTTCTTCCTGTTTCCTTTTTATCTGCTGCCTTTGTTCTTAAAGTTCTTCAAGCTAACTTTTCCACCAGTCCCTCCAGTTTGGCTCAGACTTAGCTTTTCCTATTTGTTTTGTTGGAGGCCTTTTTAGCTACTCACCTTCCATTATGACTCCATAATGTGAGTGTTAAGGCAAAGTTCCTCCCTTTTGCTTCAGATAAGGTTGCCCCCTTTAGGATTCTTAATACAACTTGTTAGAGCTAATTAAATTTTTGCTGAGAAGTTCCAAGTTTAAAACTATTAAAAGCATCATGTCTGCATTTTATCTATCATTGTTCCTCGTTGGCAGTAAACAACTGAGGGAGCCTCTTAGTATGGAGGTGAATGTTTCTTGTCTTTAGTGTTTCACAATAATGGTAATGACGTTACTTTTATGCATTTTTGTTGTTGTGTTTTGTCTGGATTGGTTAAAGCCCTCAAAAACTGATGATTTTAAAAGAATAGATTGTTCATGCTGTTCACTGTTTTGTTCTGTTCACTGTTTTCACTCCTAACGGGGCAGGCTCAGTTTTCTTTCTTCACATTTCTTATAACTGACACATCCTATTTGACTGGCTTAACCCTAGACCCAGGGTAAAAGTAGTATCTGCAGGATTGCTGTGTACAAGATATTTATAGGTCTTATAAAATACTATTGGTTAAGGATACATTACTTTTCTGTTCTAACTAGCCTCTTTTCCAGGGTACAGTGAGCCCAGAGGTCCTAACAGTAAAGCAGAGAAAGTCTGGAAGAAGAGGTGCTTTGCTGGGAGGTGAGATTAGTGACAGCAACAAGTGGGAAAAGGATTGTTTGATGTTTCAAAATATTGAAATAGTTTAACCCAAGAAGTACTTTATTTTTCTTTGTGGTTGATGAGAAATAGGCCTCACTGTAGTATCATGTAAGACAGTATGGCATAGCAGGACACATGGGTTAAAATCACTGCTGTGTCATTTATTTAGTGTGTGACTTTAGTGAAGTTCCTAAACCTTTCTGATCTGGTTCATCTGGTTCTTGCTGTGTATAATGAGAATACCAGCACCTCTGAAGAGTTATTGTGAGGAGTACATTAAGAAAAAGTATAGATTGGGTACTGAACAGAGTGTTTGGGCTCTCAGAAGAAATGCTGAGTTTGTTTTCTTTCGTTTGTACATAAAACATGTGATGTCATTAATAGCTGACACTTGGGCTAATGGTATTGTTAATGGACCTGTGCAAATGGGCAGGCAAGACAGTTCTGTGATCTTTGGATGTGGAATGAGGAGGCACAATGTGGTGTGGAAAGAGTCCAGGATGTGGCATCACATTATTTGAATTGTAGCTGTACAGTCATAAATTGTGTGAATTTAGGCAATTCCTTTTATTCCACTTCTGTAAAATGGGGATAACAAAACTTTCCTTGCAACCTAACTGGGGAAGTGAGTTGTCAGTGAGATATTCTATGTGAAAGTACTTTGTAAATTACATTATTTTGAGTGAGGGTTACTTTTTATAATGGCAACCTATGCTTGATGATAGCAGTCTTTTTTGAATATTTAGGGAATGGGAAAACAACACGGTATGCTGATGTTCCACTTACAAGAGATCCTAACAATATCAAGGAGGTTACGGTACTACATACATTTAGGGGATGTCCTGGGTTTACATTTCAAGTCTTTGGTTACATTTAATATTTTAAATTCCTTGCCTCCTCTTATGCTTCTTTTTTTCCCCCTACAATGGGGCCTTTTATATATTTGCTTAAAAGTCTTCTTGTTTTTTCTTTGGGAAGAAGATCACCTTGGAAAGACCAACCATAATGTAGCTGTTTTTGTCTTATCTTGGATTGTAACTTCACCTCCTTACATTTTGTAAAGGGTTTGTGTAAATAGAATCTTAGCAGTAAACAGAAAGATTTAGCTTTTTTGGGGTAAGAGCTACTGTACTATTTCCCCTGGATTGAGTTTAAGGCATTGGAACCCATAGAACTAACAGATTAGTAACCTGTGAGTATGAAGTTTTGAGTTACAGTGAAAGATTATGATCTCTTTTTCTGTACTTACGGGTAAATGTAGGAAAACACCTTCAGAAGTTTTTCAAATAGAATCAGCAGCTATGCTATTAGAGGCATGAGGGTCATAATTAAATAGAAATTGTGAATAGGAAGAAGCATTTAATTGCTTGGTCATAATAGTTATAAACGGGCAAAACTAGCCTTATTTCTATTTCATAGAGATTGTTAACTTATTAAGCATTATAAGAATCTACTTTTGTTGATTGCAGTGGCCGCACAGAACTTGGACAGTACTCATGATTATGGGGTTTATTAGGGAAGTAACAACAATTCAGGGTCTGAAACGAGTCAGGATGCAGTTCTTTGGTCAGGACAGCCTCTTTTAGGCTGTGCACGCAGGCAGGCCTCTCTCTGGCCTCTCAGCCTCACAGTCCCTCTGCCTGGCCTCTGCCTTGCTCAGGCAAGTGTTACAAACCTCTTGTACCCATAGGTGCTCCACTCCAGCAGTAAGCTCCTGCCAAAAGGCACTCAGCTTTCTTCTCTCTCTGGGCTGGGAAGCCCACTGAACCGTCTCCTGCTGGTCTCCTGGTTCTGCTGCCACTGATGGTACCATTTCTCTGCTGCTGCTTCTCACTGTCTCTGGCATTACATCTCTCTCTCTCTGTCTCCTGGATCTAAGAGATTCTCTGCACAGGGATTGTTGGGCCAAAAGATAGACTTTGTTCC